TAAACCTATTTTCTGATCCACACTCCGGAGCAGAAGGTGGCGGTAATGCACCAATACGCTGGATGCCAACCGCCGTAAAAATATAAGAAGAAGAAGAAGGCGCTGTAGGGACCGCGGCCGTCGGAAATGACGTGAGCAGCAGGAACAACTAGCAGCGCTTGAAAGAAAGTGTGTAGTCACCGTGTGTAACCCGGTCTACAGCTTTATTTTCAGCATAACATAATCAAATCTTATCAATAGTTCTCATATTGGTGCCTGCTTATTACATTTGCCATCATGGTAAGTGAACGCGTTTGAATTAAGTGTTTGTTGAATGTACAGTTAATCGTCGTTATTAGCACAGTAACGTTAGCTCATTTGCCATCTCATCTTTCCAGGCGAAAGAATTTATAAAGTTATTTGTCCTAACCTGCATCTTATTTTCCTTTTTAATATGGTTTAATTAAATGCATTCCACATGCATAATAAGCTTTAGTTATATGGAGTGTGTACTATTGTTTGAGTCGATCATATTTAAAACGAAACTAACAGTGTTGCATTTGGATGCCTGGGCTAAATATGGATGGTGATCAGTCGTGTGTAGACGTATTTTAAATCATGATTTTCATAATTGCATCGGCATTAACAGGGGAATTCAGTATGAACTCATCTTGATCAAATGTGTTAGCTTTTATACGCATTTCAGATGTGGAGTTGGGTAACATTTGCAAAGTGCCTAGTCATACAAAATATCTTTTCATTAAACTATCTCTATTTATTGTATCTTGTTTGAAAATGTATTTTATTGCTTTGCTCTATCGCATGTTTCTTATCCTGTTCTGTAAGTGATCTTTGTGATATATGTGTATGTTGTTATACAGTGATAAGCATTGTAGTTTTTTTTAAGCCTATATAATAACTGTTTCAAATATGTATATGATATCTAGTCAGACTGTATAGAAAAGTGCAGTTGTTTAATCTTATAAGTTTGTTGTTTTATTGTCATCTTCCCATAGTCTATTATGTCATATAATGGAGGTGCCGTCATGGCGATGCGTGGAAAGGAATGTGTGGCAATAGCATCAGACCGGAGGTTTGGCATCCAGGCACAGCTGGTTACCACCGACTTCCAGAAAATCTTCCCTATGGGAGACAGACTCTACATCGGGCTGGCTGGCCTTGCCACAGATGTACAAACTGTGTATGAATAGTGTCAGATGCATTCGAATATTTGATATTAAACATAGCACTTGTCATTTTTCTTTTTAAATACCTTCTGGTTTTTACCTTTCTCTCTCGTTTTAGATCTCAAAGGCTGAAGTTCCGCTTGAACTTGTATGAGCTGAAGGAAGGTCGTCAGATCAAGCCGAAGACCTTCATGAGCATGGTGTCCAACCTTCTGTATGAGAGGAGGTAAAAAAAAAAAAAAATGCACGTCTGTATCTGCTAGTTTCTGTCAATTGGCAAAGAGAAAACCAATTGCTGAAAATTGAAGGGAATTAGTGGAACAACAAATGCATTCAATTAGTGGTAAATAGTTTTTTGTTGTTGTTGTTGACCTTAACTGTAATAGTGCTACAGTGCCCACTCACTTGTATTGAAAGTGTTTTTCCCATAGGGATTTTAAATCGAGATCGACCGATATATCGATTTACCCGATATTTAAAGGGGTCCTATTATGCTCTTTTACAAAGTCTTGATTTTGTTTTGGGGGTGTACTAGAACATGCTCTCATGCTTGGTGGTTCGAAAAACACATTATTTTTCACATAATTTACATTATAAAAATACCTTTCTCCCCAGCCTGGCACAAACGGCTCAATTAGTTCCGGTTTGGATGAAGGTCCGCCTTCCGAAAAACAAAATGTGTTGTGATTGGTTAGCTGTCCCTGTGCATTGTGATTGGCGAACAGCTTAGATGGTGTTTCAGTACTGCTACGCCCCTTGCTCCGTCTTTCAACAAAAGCTTTTTGGCGAATCCGGCACTGTACTCCATGTTGTGGAAGCTGTCCTCAGTAAAATGCGCAGCACACAATAGCAAATTGGGCTTATAATGCTCAGGAACAGAGTTAAAAAATAAATGGCAACCACTGTTTCCTGACATCATCCGCTTTCGGAAGCCATAGAGGTGAAAAAAACAGCGTTTCAGGTCGCACACCGGACGAGAAATGCAGCGTTGCGTTCATCGTCTCATGAAGTCGGAGTCACGTAGGCTAAAATAATCCGTCAAGTCCTCTCCCAATAAAGACGTAACTTTGCATTAATTAAATACAGCCATGAATGAGCGCATGTTGGAAATAAAAACGCTATATTTAATTCTCTGTCTGTTGTCTATGCTCATCATTAGTCTCGTGAAGCCGCTTTCATATTGCTGTTCATTCACCGGGTTGATGCTCAGGAAATGCTCCAGCTCGGCCACAGCATGTAACTTTTAACAAGATTAAGAGGATTTATTTGAGACCATCTCTCAGGCCATGCTGAACGCTGTTGACAGAGATGCAGTGTCTGGAATGGGAGTCGTTGTTCATGTCGTGTAAGTATATCATCAACTGTCATCAACCTTAGTGATAGTATGACAATCATTAACTTTTAATTAACTGATTTCAATCTGCACAAAACATTAAGAATAAAGAATACATTAAGAATATATTTTTTTTTACAGTGAGAAGGATAAGATAACCACACGTACCCTGAAGGCCAGGATGGACTAAAGAAAAATACTACTGCTGTTTCCTCTCCTACAACCCCATTTTTTTTGTACTCCAATAGAATTTGCCTTGTTCCATTTGTCATCATCAAAATTGAATTGTTCAATAAACATTTCTAATATTTACTCATCTGCAATGTGGTCAGAGATGTTTTTAAAAGATACTTTTTACTTATCTAATTTCTTGACATTTTAAAGTCAGCATGAAACAAATCTATTTTCTACAGGTGCATCTAAAAAAGTTTTTGTGAAAGTTTTATTTAATTTTTTTTACTTATGAAAGTTTAACTTTTTGAAATATATTCTAGATTCATTACAAGTAAAAAATGTCAAATGTTTTTTTGTTTTGTTTTTTAATTTTGGTGATTAGAGCTTACAGCTCATGAAAGTCAAAAAGTATATAATTCAACAACATAGCATTCCTAATTTTATTTACAACCCCTGGCAAAAAATTATGGAATCACCACACTTAGATGATGTTCACCCAAATTGTTTAGTTCACAACAAATAAACGAATCACAGATATGACAAAACAATTTTTGTTTAATAATTCAACATTCTGGTTATGTAAAACATATCTCAAACAAATGAGATTAAACTCCTTTAATTAATGGAAAATTGTTTTCCATATCAAGTAGGGGAAAAAATTATGGAATCATTCAATGTTGAGGGGGAAAAAATATGGAATCCTCAACCAAAAAACACAATTAGTACTTTCTTTTCTTACTCCACCTCTGGCTTTTATGTCGGCCTGAATTCTTTAAGGCATGGACTAATGAAAAACAATATTCTTCATCAAGCTGGTTCCAACGGTCTTGAATATCAGTTGACGGATCAGCTTTGCAAGATGGAGCCTTGCCATGAGCCAGTTTTTTTTCAATTTCCATTAAAAATAGTTTTAATCTGATTGAGATCTGGACTGTTTGCTGGCCATGTTATTGAGTTGATATGCCTTTCCTGATGAAAAGCTAACACTCTTTGTTCTGTGGCAAGATGCATTATCATCCTGAAAAATGACATCATTATCACCAAACTTCTTTTCAGTTGATGGAATGAGAAAAGTGTCCAACATTTTAATGTGTTGACTGTTGAGGTATGGATTGCCATTTCCCCTGCTCCTATACCTGACATGCAACCCCATATCATAAATGAGTTGGGACATTTCCATAATTTTTTCCTCAACATTGAATGATTCCATAATTTTTTCCTTTACTTGATATGAAAAATAATTTTACATTAATTAAAAGTTTAATTTAATTTGTTTGAAGTATGTTTTAGGTAACCAGAGTGTTGAATTATTAAACAAAAATTGGTTTGTGTTATATCTGATTTAAAAAAATAATAATTTATAAAGTAAAATAGTTGGGTGAACATCATCTAAGTGTGGTGATTCCATAATTTTTGCCAGGGGTTGTATATAACTCCTAATTTTCACAATGAATGGTTGAAGACTAAATATTAATAGTTTCATATTTACGTGCATTTTCTTGCATGATACTCTACATCACAAACATCATTGGATAAGTAAAAACTTGGATCTTTTGGTCTACTTCACTTTGTCAGGCAGGTCCTATTTAAGAGATTTCTTGATTGCGAACAGGTGTGGCAGTAATCAGGCCTGGGTGTGGCTAGAGAAATTGAACTCAGGTGTGATAAACCACAGTTTTAACAGGGGAGCAAACACTTCTTCACACAGAGCCATGTACTTTTGGATTTTGTTTTCTCTTAATAAAAACCTTCATTTAAAACCTGCATGTTGTGTTTACTTGTTATCTTTGACTAATATTTAAATTTGTTTGATGATCTGAAACATTAAAGTGTGACAAACACGCAAAAAAATAAGAAAACAGGCAACACTTTTTCACACCAGTGTATATGTTCTAAACAATAACCTTGTGCAACCTCATCTCACTGGCCATTGGGTTTTTTTCTTTTGTCTGCGCTAAGACTTTTTATACTTTACTTTTGTCAGCAAGTCATTTTAAGCAAAAAATCTGTCTATGTTCAGATTCTTGTGCATTTCATTGATGCATGTTTCACGGCAAAATACAATATTCCTAAATGTTGAACTGTGAATCTATTTCTAAATATGTATTATAATTATACTATATAATTACATAAAATAACTTTCTGATATGTCTAATTTTGTGATAGTAATTAATTACTTTTTTTTTTTGACAGGAATGCAAAATCAACATGTAAAATCAACTGGTAGTTATTGATGGTTTGAGCAGAATAATGACAAATAACAGACTTCCAGTTAAATTTTGCACTGCTAATATCAATAGAAACTTTTGTCAGTGTTGACATGTGACCCTGATATAAGTGGGCTAACAATGATTACCTCCACGTCTTGCATTAACATTGTGAAACGCAAACCTAGCTGTGGATTATCCCATACATTCACACATAGCCATTTTAAGCAAAAAATCTGTCTATGTTCAGATTCTTGTGCATTTCATTGATGCATGTTTCACGGCAAAATACAATATTCCTAAATGTTGAACTGTGAATCTATTTCTAAATATGTATTATAATTATACTATATAATTACATAAAATAACTTTCTGATATGTCTAATTTTGTGATAGTAATTAATTACTTTTTTTTTTTGACAGGAATGCAAAATCAACATGTAAAATCAACTGGTAGTTATTGATGGTTTGAGCAGAATAATGACAAATAACAGACTTCCAGTTAAATTTTGCACTGCTAATATCAATAGAAACTTTTGTCAGTGTTGACATGTGACCCTGATATAAGTGGGCTAACAATGATTACCACCACAGGTGGTTCTTTACCTCCACGTCTTGCATTAACATTGTGAAACGCAAACCTAGCTGTGGATTATCCCATACATTCACACATAGCCTATAACTGTATTAATGTATACCATGGCAAGCTTGGTTCTCAGTACTGTTCTTACAGCAGCGCTCATTAATTGCCAGCATTCTCTTCCCAGTTTGAGATATACTTGAGATATTGATAAGGAGAGATTGTTTTTACAAGATTTACAATGCTTATGAATAATGGGAAGTAATAAACTGGATAATAAGTACTAACACATTCAAACTCAGGTTTTTGTTTAATAATTCATATGTAAAAATCTATGAAGGAAACTCAACCTCTGTGTTTTAATGTCGCTTTTTCATTACTGTTTGTAACCATAATAGCAAAGTGCAACTAAGACCTCACTTGTTTAGACAGAGAGGGGGATTGGTTTATACCAAGAGCATTTTATTAAACATTTATATATAACAATAGTTAAAGCTGAAATACAACCTGAACGATGACAACAATAACGTACAATCACTAGACTATCATCAAATCCTTTTAACAGTTTACGTTACAGACTTTATTTTAAAGTCTTCCCTTTTTTCACAAAACCTTTTGCTCTCTAGAAGCCATGTCAGTTTCTAGAGAGCAAAATATTTTCGAAAATATTTTAAGTTCAAGTGTTAGCATTATAAACACTGAATTAATACCAACATATTAAATTAATGACAGAAAGATTAGTAATGTTGGACAATAAATATATAACAGGAATATAACAGCTTGACAGTAAACTGTTTTTGCAGTAATGTCCGTTAAAGGAAGACTGTAAAAATAAAAAAAACACACGTACAGCCACTTTCTCCAAAATTGTTTAATTATTTAATTATGACAGAGACACAGCAATGCATCATGTCTTATCTAGATCATCATGTTTGTAGTGTGTTCCAGGGGATTAAAACGTACAATATATATATTTCAGACCTAGTGGAGTAATATTAAATAATAATATAGTAAGTAATTGTAAATGTGTAAAGTTGCATAAGCTCATTACTTAGTGTCATATCCATATAAATCATTATTATGGTTTCTATGGCTAGGAACTGCAGTTCCTAAAAGGATTTAAGTAGGGATGCACTGATAGCACTTTTTCCAGTACTCGCCCGATACGATACTTTTATTTTTGGTACTTGCCGATACAGAGTACCGATACCAATATTTTCATTGCATTTGTAAATTTTTTTAAATATTGGGTACAAAAACCAAAAGGGTATGTAAAATGTTAGTTGGTTAACTTCATTTATCAAATAGATACAGTCAAACCAAAATTTATTCAGACACCTTTCTCACATTATCAGTTTATTCGCTATAGTTTAGAAAATTGTAATAAAATATGACAAGAACTCAGAGTTAAACTGTGTCAGAACAAATTCATCTTGATAATGTCAGATAACTTTCATAGAAAGGTATGTAATGGATTACAATCAACCAAAAATTATTCAAACAGCTGTCAATATTTACACAACTATCAATACTTTGTCGGGTGACCCTTAGCCTTAATAACAGCCTGTAGTCTCCTGGGCATGCTGTCATCCAGATTCATGCAAACCTGAACTTTTTTTTTTTCCCCCAGACTTGGTCTGAATAATTTTTGTATAAATTTTACTGGTAGTCCACTGTATGAAGAAATCTTGGGTATAATATATCACAGTTTAGTTTATTTTGCTATCCTCACTTACATAAATGAACTATAGTGCCCTACACCCACTAGTAAAAAAAAATAGAAAAAATTATATCTGGTCTCTGAATAATTTTTGGTTTGACTGTATAGTGCACGCTCTCTCTCTCTCCCTCCCTACCGTTAAGTAACGTGTGCATTGTTTTACTTACTTCTTTTTGACATATCCGACCGAACTACAAACTTTCCAGTGATGTCTGTGAGAAAGGGATATTCACTGACAAGCTCACGCATCTGCGCCGCCGCGCGCTCAATCTACTCAGTGTGATTTGCTTACCAGCTGGCGCAAATCAGCTAGGCATTAATACTGAATGTTTTATATTCACTGCATACATATACTTCGTAGACATCTTTAATCTCTAATAACTCCATTCTGCTGTCTGTTGTCGGTGTTTCTTTGTCTGAATATGGCACTTATTACATACAGTGTGGTATCGGCGTTTGGTATCGGGGCATTTTAACGAGTACGAGTACAGGAGCTCAGTATCGGGCCCGATACTGATACCAGTATCGGTGCATCCCTAGATTTAAGTTTACTACTAGACTAAAAACAGTTCAAGTTAGCAGCTGTATAAAACAGCGCTACATCCCACTTCAAAACACTTTTGTGAATATTGTCA